AAGGCGCACACGCACGGCCATGCACACACACACACACACGTATGCACACACACACACACACACGTATGCATACACACACACATTATATATATAAATGTGTGTCTGTTTGTTTGTCTATATGTATATATGTAAAATAATGGCTACATTCATAATTCGTATGCCTGCATGTATGCAACTGTGATTTCAATACAGTCAGTGCAAATTTCCTAAAACCCTTGACTAAAATAAATCATACCCGATGTTCTAACGTTATAATAAGTAAATATGTATAAATAAATGAAATAAATATAATACGTCATTGCCTTTAGGTAGTCACTTCACTTCTTTTTCGCTTCGACGCTCCGCTTCTTACACACAACTGCATAGTAAAAACCGAGTGAAATAATAAAGAAATAAAGCAAACGGATAATGCAACATGCGCTTGTTCCTGCGTCTCGCTCACCAGGGCTTCCTGCTGCATACTGCGTGTACCCAGGCGGTTTGAGGCCCCGCAAACAGCTCACACACCGGAGAATCCTCTTCCCAACCGGATTCCTTTCCTTCCTGAAATAGTTCGGCGGATCGGAAATAAAGTTCTTGTCCTTGGGAAGAAAAAATCAAGGTTCCGCTATCGCATTTTTTCCCGTGCGGAGCTGGGAAGGTCGGCCAGGCACGAGGGTGCGACGTCACAAGGTAGAGGTCGGTGGTCGCGTGACGGCGGGGTTGCCCACTGGGCCACCGGGGTACGTCGTCCTCCCCCCTCCCCCCACGCCGCTCCTGTTGGCTTTATAATCAACTCTCACCAACAGATTCGCCAGTCCCCTCTGGGCCGTTACACAAGAGGGGGGACCACACACACATACACATACACTAACATTAACACATACATCAACACAAACATGCACAGACACACATACACTCACACACTGATATATATTGTACATTCACCCATTTAACATATATTTGACATAAACACACGAGCAGTGCCTTTAACTACGACGATGACTTCGACGCCAGAAGGCTGCCCACCTTCAAGAAGACTTAACGCCAGCTTTAGAAACACTCGGAGCCAGTTTCCACCTTCGACGTGACAAGACCATTCTGAAGCGTCTGGGCCTGAGAACACTCGAAGGCGGGGAGTGTCTGGAGATCCACTTGAATGGTAAGGCCTAAACATCGTTTTTCTTTTAAATAAAACTAATGTTCATGATGAAGTACAATTAAGACATCCCTTTGCATTAATTTTCGTTATCGATGGTAAGATTTCTCAACAGATCTAAAATGCATCTTCGTTTTCTCACGTTTCAGGAGCTGAGGAGTTAGGGCTTCACGTCCCTCCATATCACCACAAATAACACCTGACGGTCCTTGCTGCACATCTGAACACCACCCGCTCTGACGTGAAGCATAGCCCCCGCCCCTGTTTCCTGTTTGTGGAGCCCATCGCGAACAGTGGTCCAGACACACCGCGAAATATTGGTCCACTCAAGATGAACAAAGTCGAGATCTGTGAAGAAACAGCGGCCGCAGCCAATTGTGTAACGTAATCAAGATTTATCGCGGACGCTGGTAAAGATCCACAGTGTATATCAGCCCAGACGTGGAGTGAATATCGGACCACATCCGTTACGAACACCAGTCCGGTCACGATTTTTCCAAACCGTATTCTCCAATGATCCAGATTCGTTTCGTCGTCTCCACCAACCTAGCAACTCGTCATCACTGGGCCAACATGGAGCTCCAAACTCTAGTCATATCAAAAGGCAGAGATGCCATCGAGAATGAAGAAACCTCCGACGTTGCACCACTATCTTGATACCTGACCAAACCAAGATGAGGGACAGACGACCCCTACGAAGACCTGCAGATGATATTTACTTACTTATCAGTCCGAAGACTTGCCCTGCAACAACGGCGTAAAAAATCTGCTAATCTGGAGTTGATATCATTCCTATCAGGAAAATGTGTCATTTATGAATTCAGCTTTCTACCTGTGGTCGGCGTCAGGTCAGGAGGAAGTGTCAGGTGCACTCCGTCTCCCGGCAACGTTTGACAATCGCTGTTATCGTCAGGAGGAAGTGGAAGATTCACTGCGGCTCCTGACAACGCATTGACAATTGCGGACAAGTCGGGAGGAAGTAAAAACTTTATAGAACTTCTGACCACGCTGATAATCACCGCACGTCTTTAAATAGTTGACACAAACTTTACATAACCTAAAAATATGTTGGGAATTCCTGATATGCCAAGAGCAAGAGCAGAATGGAGGCGCCCCTGAAGACGTGCCATGGACACCAGATGGTCCGCGCAGGAGAGTTGCCAGGCACTTGTGACAGTGAATAATCAGCATGTGTTTGTGTTGATTGCGGTTGTTGACATCAACATTGGTTACAAAATTTTGATGAAAGATATATCTACACCAAAGTAAAATTGAAACAACATGGCAGTCTTTGAATCATGACTGCAAGCAGTGACAGAAAATGTTCAATTTTGTTATGAAAAGAGTGAAGTACAAAGTTTACGCATGAAATCTGTGCAACTTTGTGTTATCGAGGAAGTTACATATAATAATTCAGCATTATTGTCCGATTTTTTTCACTATAGCCATCACCGTTACCTTCTTATTCTGATGATCTTACATGTGCGCTGCAAAGTCGGAGCATAGATCGCGAGAGCCTTTTCACCTCCGCCAGGAAATCGTAGAGGCATTCCCTGCGCGTGTCGTCGCATGACAGCCGTGCCATTTGAGTTCTTGGAGCAAAGGTGCAAGTTATTTGGCGGGTGTGCGGGTCGCCAAGGTTGCTGTCGCGTGTCCCATGGCTCCTCGGATTAGCCATGGTGATGTACGATCCGAGTAACTGCGGGTCAAAGTTTCAATACAACACCTAGCTTGATAGTAACTCCCGGTAGTTGGTGACGACTGAACGTTGTATTGACAATACAGCCAAAGGATTATCAGTCGTTTGTAC